TACCACGTCAATGACAAAAGGTAACTCGATTGGTCCTTTTCACCTCGCTTTCTCTTCTTTTTTGGTGTTTAAGGCCCTCGTATCCCTGTCACGCTCAATTGGCGCAACTATCTTTACACTAATCCAGCACGAGTGATTGCAAACACGAGAGCAAAGATAGGACCTTAAATAACTTTGATTCTTTTTTCTTCTCTTGTTCCACTCAAAGTAGATGAAAGCACCTGTACACGATGTCTGCGAAGTTCGCCCCTGCCGTCGCTTCTTCTCATGATCCTGGTCTTCCTTGGAGGCATAGCTTTCGGTGTTGGAGCGATTTTTGGACTCAGGCGACTCTCCGAACTGCTCAACGTTGATCCTCTGTAAGTTTTTGTGTTTAATTTTTCTCCATTTTCACCTTCCAACATGCACAAATCATACACATTTTATCGTCGGAGTTTGACATGTTCTCGTTGTAGGACGTCTCCTAGATGCGCATTTAAACAAGAATTTGTTTGCATTCAGTTAGTGAGATGGTCCACAAGTGGAAGAAAAAAACTTACTCTACGGCAGCTCTTATCTTATCTTATCGCTCTTCTTCTCTCAGTCTCTTTTACATAAAATATGCCAAACGTTGTCACTTTTGTGACGTCGCTTGTGGGTCCGTAAACACCAAAAGGCAAGAAAAATCCTGCTGCCCTAATTTCTAGCGAAGATCAAAGACGAAAAGGTTATCCATCTCCCCTCCCTACGTTGAGAGAACGATCCATACATCTTGCCTCATTTGCCATTCTTTCGCCTACCCCTCCCCCCCCCCCCCGCCCTGTCTACCTAACAACCGCCCTACCTACGCAGCAACTTGGAACGGAGATGATTAATGGTGGACCATGCTATGTCTACATGCTGAAGCGACACCAAATGTACCCAATCTGGGCAAATTTGTCGATTTTTGTACCCTAAGTTCATTTAAGCAAGGGCATTGTGGAATTTCTAAGGTCTGTGAACGGACATGCAAAACATACACACGCACTCGACATCATTATTGACGAGGAGCGGTGTATGCTACGGCGGCGGATTCACTGTCTGACGTCGCTCAACGTGCTGTCACATTTTTGATTGTTGCAGGGGTTGCATCCGTTCTTAGTAAATAGATTGACATGACAATGCGACTTCGGTGAGGTGAGCTGTGTACCGCCTTACCCACGAATCAAATCGTCAGGCTAGGTGGCATCTCCTCTCACTCCGTCACAGGTGCATCCAATTTGTCTTGTGATATTTCCTTACAAACAAATAAACTACAGGCACTAAGATAATGCGACGTTGAAAGTCTCGTGGCCACTTGTCAGGTTATCATTGAGCTTTGTCTCCGAGGCATGTAGTGCCCAAGTGGCACCAACACTTACACAACCAAAATGACCGATTCAGAAGCTACTCAAGAACCATGAGATTCAACTAATTTCCCTTCTTGGCTGTTTTCAACCTAGTTTGTTTGCCTGTGATAGGATTTAGTGCTGACTGTCACATGGCACGTATTAGTGACATGCGGCTACGATTAGAACATCACGGTTGATGGTAGCGGATTTATTTAGCTTAAGGCCTCCCGTGCCAGCCAGAGGGTCACGACCGCAACACTCTGACATTGAACCGGGGTGACCGAGAGCTGTTGTACCTGCAACCCGCCCCGTGCTGTTTGAAATACGGATTAAACGAAGGGCTTGACAACGTCTTTTTAGGGTGACTCAAAACCCACGCTCCTCTAGGGTAGAAAAACCACAAATTTCACCCTTGGACAGCTGTGGGTTTGTGTTTATGCGCGTCCTAGAGTAAACACATAGATACAAAGGTTCTGTCAACATCGATCTAGAAATGATTCAATCGGATGTGAAACGGAAGCCCTTTTAAAGAGAAGAGAATAAAACAAGGAGGTGAATGTCGTGGCTCCGAAAGCGCAGTTTTTTTCTTTTTATGGAAGCTTCTCAATGACATGTTTAATTAATGTGAAGCACCCACTCCGTCGACATAGGGTGGCCCTACTTTCAAATCATTACCTACCGGCTCTGCCTGACAGGCATGCTGAAATCTGCATGTCAAAAGTGTCACCTCAGCCGATTCGAGTTGGGACGAACTGGTGATCGGGGCAGCCTCGGAGTTGGATCTAACGCTGTGACCTTCACTTTTGACAGCTCTACTGTTGCATGAATCGCCATGAATGCTGGAATTGGCCTTTTCTCCCATTTGGATGCTTCCGAGCAATATACCAGTCGTAATTAGAATTTATGCCTGTCCAAATTGCGCAAAATGTGAATAATTACTGCTGACCTGAGAATTAAATGGAAAAAAAGCCGAGAAAGTTTGGTAAAAGGAAGCGCTTTCATGTCTGCTCTTCAGGCGGTTCTTACAACTCCGCCTCCGCTCCAATTTGAACTGTTTTTTTCTTTTTGAAAAATTAAAGAAAGACTGGTAATTGTGGTTAATTTTACAGGTTCCCATACATGGACTATGCCATCTACGCAATTGTTGGAGCTACAGGCCTTTTCGTGATCATCGTCTACATCATTTGCGCAATTTCTTCCGGTTGGAATGCCAAGAGGTGCTTCGAGGGAACGAGGGCTACCGCTTGTGGAAGGTGCATGAATTCAACGGTAAGGTTTTTAAATTACTTCTTTAAATGTTGCCGTCGGAGGTAGGCATTTCATATTCTTTATGAAGCAAATGTGGGCCAAAAGCAGCCTTGATGATTCACCTTGAGTGTAGGGCGCCGGGCCTCCTCGAAGGTACAGGACCGGAGGGGCCTGGTGGTTAAGTAAATATCCAGCAGTCATTACATTTTGGCGCCCAATTAAATCTTTCACTTTGATACTGCAAGTGGAGATGTCACAGTAGATTCACAAAAACGCATCCGAAACGTGAGGTGAGTTTTTTTTTCCCTCCCATCGCCTCGCCCCTGGTGATGGATGTGTCATCCCAATCCCTTGTCTTTTGTTGTCACTCTACCAAAGCCATCGCATCGTTCACAGGCGGGACTTTCATGCCTCCAGATTTACGATACAGTCCGCTTTTGGTGACACTTTAAGTGGCCTTTCTTTTTCACATATCTCCATCACCCATCCACTGGTGCTTTTCTTCTGTGATATTCACCTATCTGTAGGCTTTCTTGAAGCCCCAGTGGAACCGGGCATATTCTTTGTAAGAGATAGAGGCTTATGCATATGTGTCAGTGAGGTAGTCTAATTTTTCTTGCTAACATGTTAATTCAAGATATATGATCCCAGAAGTGGGTTTATCGTCGACGTACAGAATGGCTTCATGACTAGGAATGTAGAAATGGGTGCAGATTGGGATGATCGGGAGAATTTATTTCACTCTTTGAATAATTGTGCTGAGTTTACCGTTTCCGGTGGTAGATTTCTCTGCCGTGATCGAATGTCCAGAACCGAGCCCTCTTGTCTGTTATCGTGACCCGCAATGACATAACCGGCGGGCGTTAACACCTCGCCACTTCTCTTTCTTACACGTGCAAGGCAGCGTGAGTCTTGACTTGACCTGAAAAACCCTACTTGTCTATAAAAGCGCCAGGGCGGTCGTCTGCGAGGCTAGATTACAACGAGGCGAAAAGTAAAGCTTTCAATGAGCATAAACTTTCTTTTCACACCACCATTTTGTACATCTGCCTAATGCGGTAAAGTTCTCGTCTCCTTTTTGCAATAAAAGAACACCTTTTTTGCTTCCAAGTTCACATCTGGTGAACTCGTACATGATTTTATTTGTTCATCGCATTCACGCGGATCTACCGCCTGTCCTTCCGGTGCATTGTCCTCTCACAAGCACCGGCACCGAACTTCTAAGGCGCGTGCCGCTGCACAGCACACATTTACAAAATTGTGCGACATTTGGTAGCAAATGTGTCCCGGAGGAGCCCTTCTGTCTCCGTGTTTGCGTGCAGACTTTGGCGCAGAATGAAACCTTTTTGAGGCAGTCTGCTACAATGCTCTATGGCCTTTTGGAGTGGGGAAACTCTGTGCCTAGCAGAATATTTCAGTCTATCAGATTAAATCTTTCATCTCACCATAAAAACAACACCAAGTTACGATGATTGGGGAATGTCACCTTAAAATTTCGTATTTACTCACCAAGCAGTCGCCTGTTTGTGCCGATAAGACCGTCTACGTAGTCCTTCTAAAGCGCATTTTCCCCCATACCTGAAGTGTAGCGCTATAGTCGATGTTTACTTAATTTTTGTGTAGAGAGGAAGAGGAGACGACCTGGTTCTGGCAAATTTTATCATTTTTTGCAGGATATTTAAAACCGTCCAGCCTAAATGGGCACTGATATGCAGTAAAGTGGGCAAGACCATGTTTCCTGGTCAAAACGAGGCACTGTCACCGAGTTGAGAATGTCCGCCAGGAAAACAGGAATGAATGTACTTGTGTTCAAAAGTGGTTATCTTTGCGCACTTGAATGAAGTCGCAAAGTGTCAGCAAGTGGCTGTTAGTCACTTGTCCACGATTGGCTGGTAGCTGACTGGCCATTAGTATGTCTACTGTGGAGCGAGGCTCCTCGGTCTCCGCTTCCCAATTCCTAGCGTTCCTAGACAAGCCAGGTTGATTTGCTTTGGACATCTTTATTAAAGGTGACAAGATGTATAGGGAAAATACAATATTCAAGAGGAGGGGAGCCGCAGTCACAGGGTAAGGGAGAGGACGATCCGGTAACAAGGTTCGAATTTCCTGATTGCCTCCTCCCTGAAAGGCACATTAAAACAACATAAGTATTACACTACATCTTAGAGCTCCTTTGTGACATTTTGGCAAATTTGAAAGCACTCTTATTTTAGTAATTTGTAATTTGAAAAAAAAGTTGCATAAATCATTTTTTTTTGTTTGGCCATTCAATATTAGTGGACTTTTCCTATGAACTGGGAGTTGCTCAACTATTGGTTATTCTGATTGGAGTTGGCGCATGCAGTCTACTTTACCATGCGAATATCCCAAACGTTGCCTTTTTGTGACATTTAAGTCAACATTAAAGAACACGTAGCTTTGCTGCTTCCCCGAGTCAAACACCGGTAGCAGTAAACAATGTGCCGCGGCACCGCTGACTCACACGTCGCAACCAATCGCATCCGCGCGCGGTTGACGCACCGTGACCCACCTTGCCCTTTCATTGCTTGGGTAAAAACCCCTCTAGCACCGTTACCTCCCGGTCTTAGCGTTGGTTTTAGAAGGAAAAGTTGGCGTAAAGTAGAAACTAAGTGATTAATGAAGCAGCGTTGGTGGGATGTACCATTTCCTGAGGAAACAGCGGTTACCACCACCAGTCTCCCTCACGCCATTTCCAAAACTAGATACGCCAATCATGATTTTTTTGTTTTCATGTTATAATCTTCGCAGTAAACTGACGTAGGACGACCTTTTCAGGCGTGTAAAAGCGGTAAAATGATCGAGGCACCGATGTCGTGTTCGACGGTGCCTTCATTGACAAGTGACAAGTTGGGGAGGGTAAGCCAAGCGTCATCAGCATGCCATTCTAGAAACCCTGTGTACATTTGGCGAAGTAGATGGCCGCACGATGGGAGCAAGGTGACAGCGAAAGCTCATAAACATCCATTCCTGAGTCGCTTTTCAGCTCTTTCAATAAGCGTGTATGTTGTGTAGAACGCGGGTTACCACGGGGTCTTGTCTTCTTTCCGCAAAACATGCTTGATTTTGAAGTCTATCCATCCATCCATCCTGTACCCATCCATCCATTCATCCATCCTGTATCCATTCATCCATCCATCCATCCTGTATCCCTCCATCCATTC